TTTTAAGAATTAGTAAGAAGCAAAAGTAGCCGGGTACAGTGGCTCATTCCTGTGATCCCAGCACTTTAGGAGGCCGAGGGCAGATTGTTTGAGCTCAGGGGTTCGAGACCAGCCTGAGCAACATAGCAAAACCCTGTCTCTACAAAAAATACAAAAATTAGTGGGACATAGTGGTGAGCGCCTGTAGTCCCAGCTACTCATGTGGCTGAGGTGGGAGGATTGCTTGAACCCAGGAGGTTGAGGCTGCAGTAAGCTGATCTTACACCACTGTACTCTACCCTTGGCAACAGAGTGAGACCCTGTCGCAAGAATAACAATAGCAACAAAAAGAAGCAAAAGTAATTCTTCAGTTCCATATATTTCCAATTAAGAAAGTATCATATATGACCATGCACACAGCTTGATTAATGTATGTCTTCACAGAGTAAATTCTCTATTAATATGTTCCTTGCTCTTTAGCAAATTTGAATTTCCCTTCAAATCTTGAATGTCTTTTTATCAGGACTCATAACTTAGCTTTCAAGTAGAAAGGCTTTTTTTTTTCTTTCAGTTTTATATATATATGTACGTATATATATATATATATATATATATATATAAAATACTAAATTATTTTTGTTGATGGAATAACAATTATTATTTTTTTCAAATACTGTTGGGATTTGAATGGTGAGAGGACAGCTTGAGCCTGGGAGGGTCAAGGTTATAAAATTAGTTCCAAATTACCTTTTAACATATATGGGGATTTGGCCACATGTTGACCTTGAAATGTAACTTCCACCTTCAGATTTTTGTAGCTTGCATACATTCTGTATCTTACTATGAAAGATCCATCCTTTCGGTCTAAAACCTGGACTCCAACTCTAGTGAATTGCTCCTCTGGGGCTGAGACTTTCACCTGAAAGACCTTTTCGCCTGGAGAAGATGTGAATCTGTGATGAAAAGAGCAATGGGGAAGATATACAGATTATTTTAAGGAACAAACAAACAAAGGTTATGCTCTTCAGTCTGGAAACTTGATTATTCTCCTCCACATTCTTCCTCTAACGTATGACTGCTTCTTTTCTCTTATTAGTACCAGAATGAATATGTTGGATCAGAGATTTAAAAAAAAAAAAATGAGGATGACAATGGCCAAGATAACATGAAACAGTTTCATTAAACAATCACAATGGAATATGTTAAGACTACTAATGTATGTAAGCATAGAACATACTCATACATTCCATATAGAAAAATATTCTTACCAACCTATTTATTTCATGCCATCACATCTGGATATTTGCGATCAAATGGTGCTCCCAAAGATAATGATCTTATTTTGAAAAATCTCTGCCAACAATTCCTTACAATATCAGTATTATAAATCACGCTCAGGGCTGGCACTGTGGCCCATGCCTACTATCCCAGCAATTTGGGAGGCCAAGGTGGGAAGATTGCTTGAGGCCAGGAGTTCCAGATCAGCCTAGGCAACAAGATCCTGTCTCTACAAAAAAAAATAATAATAATAAATAAATAACTAGGTGAGGTGGCACATGCCTGTAGTCCTAGCTACTCAGGAGGCTGAGGTGGGAGGATAATTTGAGCCTGGGAGGTCAAGGGTACAGTGAGCTGTGATTGCAACACTGCACTCTAGACTGGCCTAGGAAGTGAAATCCTGCCTTAAAAAAAAGATAAAAAATCATGCTCAATCATGGGACAAAGCAAAGCAGTAGGTAGTGTATCATCTTTTGCCAAATGACAAAATTTACAACCTGCCTTTGATTTGACAACCATTAATTACAATTTTTTTTTCTGTACAAAATACACACAGTCAGCATCTACCAATAATAAAGACAATCATTTCAGAAGTATATGAAACATGAAACCAAGTTTTAAGTATGATGTTAAGTATTCAATTCATTGGAATGAAATATTTGTTCCAATCATATAGGAGATTCATTCTTTGATAACTTCCTTCCGAACTGTAAAGTTTCAAATAGTACTTCATTTGTCTTTTTCACTTTCAAAACACGCTTACCTGCAGATGTCTCCTTGAAAATTGAGGGCCACACCAGGGAAAAAGATGAAGCCCATCGAGTCTCTAACAACTAGGTTTAACTTCCTTATAACAGCTTATATAAGCGAAAAGTAGTTAGAAATAGTTATTTCTAGAAAAGTGGAGGGACTTTGTCTTGTCCTGATAATGTGGGAATCCCAATCAAAATTGCTAGGAGATTATCTTACATGTTATATACAATACATTATACTGCATATGTTATAATTCGGAACTATTTCTACACCTACAGAGAAAAACTGGTACCCAAATATCCTGGAATTTAAACTGCTGTAGAGAAACGAGTTATTGGAAAGAAAAAACTTGAAGTGAGAAACAGATTTAACCGCCATCCAAAATAGTTAAGGAGTCATTTCTCGACTTACTTATTCCCTGATGTATCCACCGCCTGAATATAGAAATAGCGTGCGGGAAGGACGACGTGTGCTTTTAGCCCGGGTCCCCATATTTCGCTCTTCTCCGGGCTCAGCTGCTTTTCTCTGCCGGTCTCGGCGAGTGCTGGAACTGTCCTCAGAAAGAAGCAATAAAGCAGCAAAATGCTAAACATTTACAAGACGGACTCTGGAAATGATCCACGGATAAATGAAGTGTAAGAGGCGCACAGAAGCAGCCAAGGTTTCTTCGGCAGGGGCACGCCGGAGGATCGCGGCAGCTAACGCGGCTGCAAAGGGTGCCGCCCGGCGTGTAGGGCGGGCGCGCGGGTCTCCGCGGCCCCAGGACAATCACAGCCGGTGCCGCGGCGCGCGCAGGTGAGGGTCGCCAGGCGTTCTACTGACCCGGCCGAGAACCGCGCTGCTCCTCTTTCTCCGGACAATGATGAACTTGAGTTGCTCCTGCCAACGGAGCATCATTTGGGAGCGCATCCGTCTCAGGTTACAGCCAAGGTGTAGGGCGAGGGGATTGGCCGGTGCTTCGCGCCAGGCTCAGTAAGGGCTTCTGCTAGTGGATGGCGGGGTGGACACGCGTCCCGGCGCCCCGGGCTCCCTGGGATATGTAGTTCGCGACAGGACGAGCGGAAATCCTGCCAGGTTTTTACCACCTCTCGCCCGTTTATTTACTTTTCGGTCACCACTTTCGGGGAACAGATAAACACCACAGATGCCCAACAGAGGCGCGCACGGGTCTGGAGGCACGGCTCAGTTTTTTGCGTTGGTCACCCTGTCCTCCGCACGTGCAGAGGGCAGGCATAAAGCACCTTGAAAGGAAGGTGCTGTCAATGATATCCGACGACCGGTCGCCGGGCACCGCAGTCCATAGCGCTGACCCCGCGCGCTCCGATGGGACGGGGGACGACGGCCCCAGGGTAACCGGAGGCGTCTCGCGGGCCGCGCGCTGGACGCTGCTATCTGGGTCCGGAGCCGGGTTCCGCCGCGGCGGCAGCGACCCGACCCAGCTGGACCGGCCAGAGGTACCCCGGGGCGGAGGCAGGGGCCGAGGTGGCGGCCAGCTGCGCGCCTTGAGTGCCTGACCCTCCTCTGGGCACCTGAGCGCCGCCGGCCCGGCCTGCTGCCATTCTACTCGCAGCCAGCTGGGCATTCAAACATTTTATTTAATTCGATACCAGCCTGGGTTGCCAGGGGTCATCGCCTCTCCGGAGCCCCGTGGCGTCCGGATGGAGGCCACTGCATGGGTACCCGCTCTCCCGGGAAGGAGTAGGGGGAAGAGCTGGGTCGCAGAGGGAAGAGAAGCGCCAGGGAGAGAAGGGCCTAGCCCTCTGGTGAACAGAGCTCGATTAGGAGGTGTCGTGTGAATGCCAGTGACCCCTGTGAGGCCGTCGGTCTCCACGCCACGCTGGGCAGGGTCCGGGAACCAGCGCGCGGCGGCTTTCGCCTTCCGCTGCACGCCCGCACCTGGGCCCCGGTCGCCGCCAGGTGTCACGGGCGCGCCGCCCTGGTCAGCTCAGTCGGACCCACAGCCGCCTCCTCTGCCAGGCTCCCTCTTGCCAGCTGCCCCGAAAACCCAGAAGGGCCGGTGGCTCCGAGCCAAGGCGGGCCTGGTCGGGCGCCAGGGCCGGGGGTTTCTTTCCTATTTTCTTTCGTGCAATTGTCATGATTAATGATATCGACTCGTTTACTCAAACACTCGAATCGGAGCCCCAGCTCCTAGCCCAGATGCAGCAACTGCCCGCGGGCCCCTTTTAACACCGAGAGCGTCCCCGGGCCCCGGGGCAGGCATAGAGACGGTCGCCCGGGGCCTCGGCGCGCTCCCCCTAGCGGAGAGCCTAGTTTTCCGGCCGGCAAGGGAAGGAGGAGGCTGGAGAGTAGCGTGGAGGCCTCGGCGGCCCTCTGGCGCTGCGGGCTGGGGACTCCGGGTCCCCGGGACACGCGCTAGGGCGCGGGCCGCGGTGGCTACGGGCAGGGGGCGCAGCCGCGCTCCTTCCTCTCCGCCTGCGCCGCCTCCGCGCGCACTGGCTCTGCGCGGCGTGGCCCGGCCTGCGCGGCTGTCGCCTCCATCCCGGCGGCCTCCGAGCCCGGCCGAGGTTGGTAGAGGAAGGCGGTGGGAACGCTCCCGGCCTCCCCCGGAGCGCTAGCTGGAGGCTGGCGCCGGGCGCGGAGGACTCCCGGTATCCTTTGGCAGGCGGGCGCCTTGGCTCTGGGGACCCGCAGGTCCGAAGAGGAGGAAGGGGCCTGGAGGGCGCGGGAGGACACCAGGTTGGAAGGGTGGCGTTAGCTCGGCCGGGGGCTAAGCGCGTCTGGTCTCACCTTCTGCTACACATTCGACCCTTACGAGGTCACCCGAGTGCCTCTGCGTCTCAGTTGCCTTCTGTACAGAATATCTATCAGGGTATTTTGTCATATCAAAAGGCTTTACTGGAGAGATTTTTAGAGATGTTTGGTTCTCTCATGAACTTGATACCTGAGAATATAGACAAAATATAACCCGAAAAGACTATAACCTAGACGATGAATATTGGCTTTATAAATGGACGTTTATTTTACAGAACACTTCATTCAGTGACTTTGAACAGTTGTGACTGGCAGTGCTTTTAAAGCATGCTATTTTATAAAATTTTACTTTACATAGGACCAAACCATATTTCTATTGCTTATGACGTGATTTTATGAGTAAGCTATTAGTTGAGCATCAGGTCCTGCAGTCATTATAGTAGTAAATCTTTTTTTTTTTTTTTTTTTTTTTTTNTTTTTCCTGAGACAGAGCCTTGCTTTGTTGCCCAGGCTGGAGTGCAGCTCACTGCAGCCTCGAACTGGTGGCCTCAAGCAATTCTTTCACCTCAGCCTCCCAAAGCACAGAGATTACAGGTATGAGCCACTGTGCCTGGCCCACACTGTTACACTTTTTATTAATCGAGTGCCATGTTCTTAATTTAGCTTCCAGGAAGCTTAACCCCAACTTTGGTGCTCAAATGCAGTAATTTCCCTTTGCCTATGTTTCTGATAAGAATATCCTCCATGGCTGGGCATGGTGGCTTGTGCCTGTAATGCCAGCACTTTGGGAGGCTGAGATGGCAGGATTGCTTGAGGCCAAGAGGTGAAGACCAGCCTGGGCAACATAGCAAGGCCCTGTTTCTTTTTTAAAAAAAGAGATTATTCTCCTATATATGTTCCAAATGAGCATAATTTTAAAATCCTGCCTGCTGGTGGCCCACACCTGTAATCCCAGCACTAAGGGAGGCCAAGGCGTGCAGATCACCTGAGGTCAGGAGTTCCAGACCAGTCTGGCCAACATGGTAAAACCCCATCTCTACTAAAAATACAAAAATTAGCCAGCGGTGTGGCACCTGCCTGTAATTCCGCTACTCTGGAGGCTGAGGCGGGGTAATCTCTTGAACCCAGAAGGCAGAGTTTGCAGTGAGCCGAGATCATGCCATTGCACTCCAGGCTGCATGACAGAGGGGACTCTAAAATAAGATAAGATAATCCCTACACTGTCACATGGAGAGCTGCTCCCACAGGCAAACTTCCACTCAGTTTGAGGAAGGAAGACCTGGAAAAGTAGAAGCTAAGTCTGAGATGAGGATATAAAAGGGGCAGTGCCTGGAACATTTCTGTTTCCCCGCCAAACTCACTCCAATAACCTTTGCCTGTTGCCTCTCACCATGACCATATGCTCTTTCATTCCTCACCTCACACAGCCCACCCCCATGCCCCAACACCACAAATACCTACCTGTCTTTCCACCACACTGACGTAGAGAAAGGCATGAAGATCATAGATGGGAAGTAGAATATGCTGTGTTAGGACATCTGCTAAGAGTCAGAGCAACTCTCTCTTCCAAAAGACAAGAGTTTGGTCTGAACAGTGCCAGGTACTGAGCTGCCCTCTACCATCAACATTGCACCACCAGATGAATATGGAGAAATCGTCAGTGTTTCTACCTAAGGACCCGCTACACCTACTCCAAAATTTTTTTTACCAAAAGAAAGTGAAAATTTTCAAAGTTAAACCACGGGAGGTTCTACCTTTTGGGGTAATGTTCCTGTCCAACTGACCCTCCTGCAAACAACTATAAGCTCTGCACAAATTATTTAAAAGCTGAAGTTGTTTTTTTTTTTTTTTTTTTTTTTTTGGTAGAGACAGTGTCTCACCATGCAGTCCAGGCTGATTTCAAACTCCTTACCTGAGGTAATCCACCTGCCTCGGCCTCCCAAAGTGCTGGGATTACAGGCGTAAGCCACCGGGCCAGCTTAGTAGTAAATCTTAATATAGCAACACCTCACTTACCTGGAAGAGGGAACCTAAGTCAATCAGAATAAGGGCCTATAGTAATGCCTGGCACGCTACAAGCACTTAAAAATTATCTGTTGAATGAGACTCTGCAAATGCTAGGCCCTGGGGATACAATAATCTAATCATGTAAAGACATAAGCACAGATGGAAATGTAAAATCGCCACCTGGTAAGACCTGTGCGAGGAGGGTACTGGAGTCTGGACCGGGTGACCTGGCCTAGTTTGAAAAGCCAAGAAAGTTTCCCCCAGAAAGTGACATTTGAGCTGACATTGGAAAGATGAATGGCAATTAACTAAGTAAGGGAGATAGCATTCAGAGAACCAAAAAGTAATGTGGAGCTTGGGAGGCAGGGGGAAGGGAATGAAATGGAGCTAACCAGATAGATATAGGGGCCATCAGGGTTGGCCTTATGTTCTAAGAGCAGAGGCTTTCAGGCAGGGGAGTTCTGTGATCATATATATGTAGCAAACTTTATTTTCTAATATCTATGCACAGGTCAGATTAGAAGTGTCAACTCACTGGGAATGGTTTCTAAATATACAAACAAAAGGAGACACGAGATGGGTCAAAACAGTGAGGTCTGCAGCCTGTTAAGTGGAGGGACAAACTGCCTCTCTGTATCTCAGTACTTCCTGAGACTGTGGTTATAATACAATCATTGATGTCTATAATGATTCTGTTATCAGTAATAAATTGTGCTTAGTTTACTTTACGAAAGCTAGAATCTGAGCAAAGTACTAAGCATGCAATAATAGAAGCCCCCTTGGCCTCTTTGGGCTCTCACTGCAGTGAGAGAATAGACCTGAGACAGACAGTGTGGAAAGAAAGTAAATGCTAGCAGTGTTTGGGTCATGGGATTTGGGTAATTTCCATTTTCCTGGAATATCTTTTGGTACTTTGCATTTTTTGGTAATGTTTTACTTATAAAATCTAAGAATATTGTGCAATTTTCAAAGAGAAATTTACCTAAACGTTGTTTCCAATGAGTATGTTTCATGCCCTTGGATTTTAGTGACAGTCAATATAAAATGCATCTTTATGTTGATGATCTTCACTTTTTTTTTTTTTTNTGATCTCAAATGATCCACCCACCTCAGCCTCCCAAAGTGCTTGGGATTACAGGCATGAGACACTGTGCCCAGCCTAAAAACTGAAGGTTTGAATAGAGAAATAGCATGCTTTAAAAGTAAAGAAAATGGAATTTTTGCCTAGCACATGTGGAGACCTAATATGGAACTCTGTTTCCTTAAATGCTGTTAAAGCCCTGCAGTACTTTGCTAGTTTTTCCTCACAGATCAGGATAACTCATGACAGTTATTTTTATTTCTAATTTTTTAAGTAAGCAAATAGGCAGAGATATTAACTGGTAAAAGTTCAACTCATCACCCAGGGTGGCTTGACTCTCTTGACTGATGCTCTGTTGCTGGAGCCCTAAGAAATCCATATACTTTGCCCAGGCACCTTCTTGAGGTTGTCTGCTGTGTATCCTGGGATGGTTCAATTCACCAAGGTATAAATCTTCACTTCCTTCCATGCCCTCAGTTGCGATTTAAGCTTTCTGTTTTCTTCCCCAAGGGAATCAGTTTAGACTTGAAATTCAGTTTTTCCTGAAACTGATCAGAAGTTACCTTGATTGGATCCGTTTTCTTGTCAGGTGATGAATCTTTGAAAAATTTACTTTCTGTATTCTTTGTTGATTTAAATCTGTGACTATTATTCATCATGTATCCTTTATGCCCATGGACTTAAAAAACTTGCTAATGCATTATTTTTTAGACATCTTTATATCCATAAAGATATAATTCACACACCGTATAATTTACTCATTGTTATACAATTCATTGGCCTTTAGTGTATTTACAAAGTTGTGTGTTCATTGCCACAATCATTTATAGAAAATTATCATTATTATAAAAAGAAACTCCATCGCCCCCAAACCCCAAGCCCAAGGCAACCATGAAGACTTTCATGGAGACTTTCTGTCTTCATAGATTTGCCTATTCTTGACGTGTTATATAAGTAGAATCATATACTAGCTGGTCCTTTGTGACTATCTTCTTTTACTCAGTGTAATGTTTTCAGGGTACATCCATGTTGTAGCATGGGTCAGTACTTCATTTCTTTTTATTGCCAAATGATATTCCATTATATGGATATACCACATTTTATTTATACATTCATCAATTGGTGGACATTTGGGTTGTTTCCATTTTTTAGCTATTATGAATAATGCTGCTGTTAACATTTGTGTGGAGATGTATTTTCATCTGTCATGGATATATACCTAGGAATGAAATTACTGGACCATATGGTAACTGTTTAATTGTTGGAAGAACTGTTTTCCAAAACAACTGGACCATTTTACATTTCTACTAGTGGTGTATGAGGGTTATAATTTCTTCACATACATCCTCACCAACACTTGTTCTTACCTTTTTGATTATAGCCATTCTAGTGTGTGTAGGGTGTTATCTTACTATGGCTTTGGTTTGTATTTCCATGATGGCTAATGATACTGAGTATCTTTTCATGTGCTTATTGACCATTTCTTTTCTGTTTCTGTTTTTTTTTTTTTTTTTTTTGAGACGGAGTCTCGCTGTGTTACCTGGGATGGAGTGCAGTGGTGCGATCTTGGCTCACTGCAACCTCCGCCTCCCAAGTTCAAGTGATTCTCATGTCTCAGCCTCCTGAGTAGCGGGGACTATGTCTCACCGCATCTGGCTAATTTTTGTATTTTTAGTAGGGATGGAGTTTCACTGTGTTGGCCAGGCTGGTCTCGAACTCCTGACCCCAAGTGATCCACCTGCCTTGGCCTTCCAAAGTGCTGGATTACAGGTGTGAGCCACTGGCAATTTCTATATGATTTTGGAGAAGTCACTATTCTGATACTTTGCCCATTTTTAAAAATTGGGCTACTTGCTTTTTAATTATTCTCACACATTATTTTAGACTAATTTAAAAAATGATAGTCATATTGTAGTTGTAAAATTAATATAGAATGAAAGCATATATATGCATAAAATTGCTATTTTTTTTGTACTGTTTGTATATCTGGTAGATTGTTGATCATTCTTTTTCCTTCCTATTAGGAGCTCACTTTGCAACTCTCCAGCTTTTATAGCATGCTGTAAACAATTGTGAAAGTTGTTTTTCAAGAAACAGAAAGAGTTGCAACTTCTTTCTAGTAATAGAAACTTTTACACTGCAATCAATGCCTAACGTTGCAGAAACAGAAAGGTCAAATGATTCTGGAAATGGTGAGCACAAATCTGAAAGAAAGTCACCTGATGAGAGTCTACAAGGTGCTGTAAAATCTTTCTGCACAAGTGCCTCAGGAGCACCCTTGGGTCCCAAAGGAGATGGTCATTATCCATGGAGTTGTCCAGTGACTCATACTCGGGAAAAAATTTATGCCATCTGTTCGGATTATGCCTTTCTCAACCAGGCAACCTCAATCTATAAAACTCCAAATCCATCTCGCTCTTCTTGCCTCCCTGATAGTACTTCTTTATCTTCTGGGAATAATTCATCAAGATACATTGGTATCCCGACTAGTACATCGGAAATCATCTACAATGAAGAAAATAGCTTGGAACACTTATCCAACAGCCTGGGCAAGCTACCTCTTGCATGGGAAATTGATAAATCTGAATTTGATGGCGTGACCACAAATTCGAAACACAAATCAGGTAAGGAAGGAGCCATGAAGTTCATATGTGAAAATAATGAGAAAACAAACGCTATGTCTTATTTAATCTTGCCATTACATATATTTTTTCTTTTATAATACTAAATAAGGAACATGGCTATCATCTTGTCTGTCATTGTGGTTTTAGGAAAGTAACATTGACATAGGACATGTAGTTCATTACTGGGTTTCCACTGGAAACTTCAAGCATAACCTTCGTATTAAATATTTTGAGAGCTTTGAAATTCTAAGAATGTTGTAAAATATTGTAGATAAACAGATGGTAGCTTGGAAAAGGTTAATAATATGGCTAGAATAACATACTACAGTTTCATAGTTTTATAGGCACATGAAGCCATATTTCCTGACCAAATATCTCTTTTTCCTACTATATAATGTTTTAGCTTTTTTTGCGGTTAAAAATTTTTAAACACTCAGCAAAGCCTCCATGTACCACTGAGTGGGCTGTGTACTGCTCAATTTAAGAAGATGCTGTTTACCTAGGTTGTGCGCAGCCTTCACAGTTGCAATGGGATGGTCCTATGGCAAATAGAAATACTTTACACTTCTCTATTTTGAATTCAAAGTAATATAGGAATTTTATGAGGCAGGTACTGTTACACCCATTTGTAGGTGAAGAAATTGAGGCTTAGAGGGGATAAATCTCTTGACCAAAGTTGCACAGTTAGTAAGAGGTCAAACTAGGATTTGTATTTTAATTATAGGCTTCTCTGATGATATTGTAAAACCTTAATGCTTCTGCTTGTTCATCTACAAAATCAACTTGTTTTATAGAATGTTAAGTAAATTTGTAATTCTCAAGGGTAGGAGGGGGATTTTGCTTTTTTGTCTAAATTTATAACTAATGAGTCTGCAATTTTCTTTTTGTTTATTACCTTTGTCCAGTTTTGGAATTAGGGGTATGCAAATCTTCTAAGAAAAGTTGTGAAGTATATTTTCCTTCTGTTTTCTGAACATTTTCAGAGACATATTAAAATCTCTATTTATAATTATGGAGTTGTTTTGATTTCTGTTAATTTCTGACAAATTTTAATTTGTCCATGTCAATAAGTTGTCAAATTTGGGGGCTTAAAGTTACATCCCTCTAACATCTAAGGAATCTGTAATGACTACTCCTTTTGCATCCTAATACTGTTGATTAATTTATTTTCTCTATTTTTTTTTAAACTGATCAGCCTAGCTAGGAGTTTATCAATTTTGTTCATCTTTTCAAATAACTGGCTTTTTAGCTTTGTTAGTTTTCTCAATTGTCTGTTTTATATTTCATTGGTTTCTGTTCTTTATTATTTCCTTCCTCTGACTTACTTTGGGTTTACTTTGTTCTTCATTTTCTGACTTCTTAAGATGGAAGCTTAGATTATTGATTTTAGACTTTTCTACCATAAGCATATGATGCTCCAAATTGCTCTGTAAGTACTGCTTTAGCTGCAGGCCACAAATTTTGATATTCTTCTTCTTATTTAATTTGAAATATTTTCTAATTTACTTTGCAATTTATTCTTTGATACATCTTTTACTTAGGTACATGCTGTTTAATTGTAGATATTTATAGTTTTTCTAAATATTAATTTCTAGTTTAGTTCCGTTGTGGACAGAGGGCATATGCTCTCAGTCTTTATAAATTTACTGAGACTTGTTTTATGACCCAACATATGGTCTATCTTGGTGAATGTACCATGTGCACTTGAAAAGAATGTGCATCTGCAGTCATTGGGAGTATCTATAAATATTAATTATGTCAAAGTGTTTGAAAGTGTTATTCACATCTTTTGTGTCTCTGATTAACTTATGTCTTGTTCTGTCAATTGCTGAAAAAAGGGCGTTGAAAATCTTCAACTGTGATTGTGAAGTTGTCTTTTCTGCATTTAATTTCTTTTTAAAAAACTAATACATGTTTAATAACATAAATTTTACCATCTTAAAGATTTTTACTTGTGCAGTTTAATGGCATTAAGTATGTTCATATTGTTGTGTAACCATCATCACTATTCATCTCCAAATCTCTTTTTATATTCCAAAATAAACTTTGTACCCATTAATCAATAAATCCTGATTGCTTCTCCTCACAGTAATGGAAACTGCCATTTTACTTTCTGTCACTGTAAATTTGACTATTCCAGGTACCTTATGTAAGTGAAATCATATAGTCTTTTTATGACTGGTTTATTTATAGCCACCCTTGCTCTCTTCTGGTACTATTTGCTTTGGAATACCTATTTTCATCCTTTTACTTTCAACCTATTCCTATCTCTATATCTAAAGTGAGTGTTTCGGAAATGAGTGTTCCATTTAAATTATATCTGTAGTTCATATCATTTGTTACACAAATGGACTGAGAATCAAACAACAGAAATATAGTTAGCTAATTTTTTCTGTTACTTTTTCATGTGTGAACTCATGTATATGAAAGTATATTTTTTTAAATCCATTCTGCCAATCTCTGCCTTTTGAGTGAAAAATTTAATCCATTTACATTTAAAGTAATCCCTGATAAGGAAAGACTTTGGTCATTTTGCTGCTTGTTATGGTATATATAACCCACTTTCAGTTATTGATATTATAAAATTACATCTTTATACATTGTGTGTCTGAAAACATAAACTAATAATTTTTATGCATTAATCTCTAAAATAATGTAGAAAACAAAATGTGGAGTTAAAAGCTATTTTTATAATAATAGCTTTTTTATTTTCATTTTTTATTTTGAGATAGGGTCTTTGTATCTTGCCCAGACTGGAGTGCAGTGGCATGACCATGGCTTAATACAGCCTTGACCTCCCAGGCTCAAGCAATCCTCCCACCTCAGCCTCTCAAGTAGCTGGGACTACAGGTGCACACCACCACTCTGGGGCATTTTTTACATTTTTTGTAGAGTTGGATTCTCACTATGTTGCCAGGGCTGATCTTGAACTCATGGGCTCAAGCAATCTTCCTACCTTGGCCTTGCAGAGTGCTGGGAATACAGGCATGAGCCACTGCACCTGGCCTACTACTAGCTTTTAAACTAATAATACTTTTTCAGCCAGGTGAGATGGCTCACGCCTGTAATCCTATCACTTTGGGAGGCCAAGGTGGGCAAATCACGAGGTCAGGAGTTTGAGACCGGCCTGTCCAACATGGTGAAAACCTGTCTCTACTAAAAATACAAAAATTAGCTGGGCCTGAGTGATGGGCCCTGTAATCCCAGGTACTTAGGAGGCTCAGGCAGGAGAATCACTTGAACCTAGGAGTGGAGGTTGCAGTGAGCCAAGATTGCCCACTGCACTCCAGCCCGGGTGACAGTGTGAGACTCTGTCTCAAAAAAAAAAATTCACAAATGTATTAGTCTCATAAATCCTATAGAATACAAAAACTGGAGTTGTAAACTAACAAAATAACACTGGCTTTTATCATTGTTCATGTGTTAACTTTACTGATGTAAATTTGTTTTTTTCCTGTGGCTTTGAGGTAGTAGCTAATGTCCTTTCATTTCAACCAGCAGGAATCCTTTTAGTATTCCTTATAGGGCAGGTCTAGTGGTAATAAACTTTCTCAGTTTTTGTTTGTCTGGGAATGTCTGAGTTTCTCCTTCACTTTTGAAGGACAGTTTTGCTGGATTTAGGATTCTTGCTTGAAATTTTTTTTCTCTCAACACTTTGAATATATCAGCCTACTTTCTTCTGGCTTCCAAAGTTTCTGATGAGAAATCTGTTGATATTCTTATTAACAATCCATTGTGTGTGATGAGTTGCTTCTCTTGTGTTTCTTTGAAGAATCTTTGTCTTTCTGCAATTTTTTTGAGACAGAGTTTTGCTCTTGTGGCCCAGGCTGGAGTGCAATGGCATGATCTAGGCTCACTGTAACCTCCACTTCCTGGGTTCAAGCGATTCTCCTGCCCCAGCCTCCCAAGTAGCTGGGATTACAGGGATATACCACCATGCCCGACTAATTTTGTATTTTTTGTAGAGACAGGGTTTCTCCATGTTGGTTAGGCTGGTCTCAAACTCCCTACCTCAGGTGATCCGCCTGCCTTGGTCTCCCAAAGGCTGGGATTACAGGTGTGAGCCACTGTACCCGGCCTTGCAATTTTATTATAATGTGTCTTGGTATGGGTCTAAGTTCCTCCTACTTGGAATTTGTTGAGTTTCTTGGATGTTTATATTTATGCTTTTTAAATCAAATTTGGAAAGTTTTTAGCCATTGTATCTTTGGATAATCTCTCTACCCTTTTTTTGGTGTCTTCTCCTTCTTGAACTTCTGCAGTGCAGAGGTTGGTCCACTTGATGGTGTCCCCAAGTCCCTTAAGGTCTGTTCACTTTTCTTCAGTCCTTTTTCTTTCTGTTCCTCATACTCAATTATTTCAGTTTTCCCATCTTCAGGTTCACAAATTCTTTCTTCTGCCTGCTCAAGTCTGCCTTTGAATCACTCTAGTGAGTTTTTCATTTCAGTTATTATATTTTTCAGCCCAATAATTTTTTTTATTTCATCCTAAGTTTTCTGTTTCTTCACTGATATTTCCATGTTCTTCATACATTCATCTTTCTTTAATTCTTTCAGCATCTTTAGGATAGTGATTTTAAAGTCCTTGTCTAGCAAGTCTGCCATTTGGTTTCCCAGAGACGGTTTCTGTTGGTTTATATCCTTTGAATGGACCATATTCTGTTTCTTTGTGTGCCTTGTGATTTTTGTTGTTGTTGTTGGAAACTAGACATTCAAATGTTATTTAACAATGCAGTAACTCTGGAAATCGATTCCTGTTTTTCCCAGAGTTTGTCAATTTTAGTTTTTGCCCTTCTCTGTGACTGTCTTCTTTTTGGGTTCCCTCTCACCTCACTTTCAGTGATGGTGATTGTACAGGACTCTGTACTTTGGTTCTTCCAGTAAAAAAGACAGTGGATTTTCTGCCTTTATTTGCTCTTCTCATACCTTTTTCTAAAAGGCAGTGTGGGGAATTCCTGCGTGTGTGTGTGTGTGTGTGTGTGTGTGTGTGTGTGTGTATGTGTGTGTGGTGTTGAGGCTGTGTGCATGTGCTGTGGGTAGGGTGAGGAATGGAAGAAGGAACTTGGTAATGAGCAGGAGTAGTGGTTGAAGGTTCTTGAAGCTGATGTGATAGGAGGCAGAAGGTGCAGGTATTGCTTTTATGTTCCCATCTCAAACTTAGCTTTCACTTTTACGAGGCTTCCTTCCCTTAAATTGAATGAACTTTTTTTTTTTTTTTTTTTTGAGACGGAGTTTCGCTCTTGTTACCCAGGCTGGAGTGCAATGGCGCGATCTCGGCTCACCGCAACCTCCGCCTCCTGGGTTCAGGCAATTCTCCTGCCTCAGCCTCCTGAGTAGCTGGGATTACAGGTACACGCCACCATGACCAGCTGATTTTTTGTATTTTTAGTAGAGACGGTGTTTCACCATGTTGACCAGGATGGTCTCGATCTCTTGACCTCATGATCCACCCGCCTCGGCCTCCCAAAGTGCTGGGATTATAGGCTTGAGCCACCGCGCCCGGCCCTGAATGAACTTTTGACTGTGGGACCAGCTCCTTTTGTGGCAGTGCGGGGCTTTTATGAAGTATGCTTATATGGACCATATATGCTCATTGATCCCAGGGGCAATCCTAGATTCAGCAAAAAGAGAATAGGGTAAGGTCATGGAACCCTAGAGGAAAGTGTGAGTACAGTCAAGGTCACACATTTCCATGTTTCATTAGCCTTAAAATTTTAAGTGGATGGGAAAACTACTTAGGGAATTAAGTCATTATTAGGCAGTGAAGACATTCAAGAAATGTTAGAAACTCATTCTTCTGTCATCTGACTCTCTAAGAGTCATTTTACCAGTGAAGGAAATTTGGCACAATGAGATTTGGCGGAATTGCTCACCTTTGCCAGTGATGTTCAGCTCTGTGAAAGTGTGTTCTCTGTAAAAGCTTAGAAAAAGTAATTAAAAGGGTCAAGCATGGTGGCTCACACTTGTAATCTCAGCATTTTGAGAGGCTGAGGCAGGAGGATTGCTTGAGTTCAGGAGTTTGAGACCAACCTGGGCAACATAACAAGACCCTGTCTCTACTAAAAATGCAAAAATTAGCTGGGCACGGTCACGCTCACTTGTCATCCCAGGTACTCTGGAGGCTGATGTAGGAGGATTGCTTGAGCCCAGGAGGCGGAGGTCACAGTGAGCGGAGATTGCGTCACTGCACTCCCGTCTGGGCAACAGTGCAAGACCCTGTCACAAACGAACAGAAAGAATAATTAAAAGGAAGGTGAAACATTGTTTCTTGACTTTATAGTCTTCATTATTATTACATTTTTACAGAAATTCCCTGTATAATAATAGTTCCTGTGTTCCAGCTGTTTGTAGGTGCCAAATGGTTTCAGTGTAAAGCATCTTGAATGAACAAAACTGATCTCTTCCCATGTTTGCTTACTAGGCATATATGTATATAATCTGTTTTCTAATTTATGAATGACTCATAAAAATGAAATATTAGCCTTCAAAACTGTTGTAAAATAGAATATGTGTGCAAGATTCAAGTATTTGAGCATGGCTATCTGAAATCTTAATAGTATTTTAATGAAATGAGGCGTGGATGTTATTTTTATTTATATTGATATTTTAATTATATAACTTTTTTACTAGATACCTCACTAACATCATTCAGAAATAAAAAATATAAAAATTAAAAAGTATAGCATGGATACCCCATTCTCCATGATGTGGTTATTTCACATTTCATGCTTGTATCAAAACATCTACATACTCCATAAATGTGTACCCACTATGTACACACAAAAATTTAAAAATTTAAAAAGTTAAAAAGTATAAATTCTCACTCTTACTTTTGGCTCCCTTTTGTCTTAGCTTCCAATTCTTCCTTCCTCAGTTATAACCACTGTTGTTTGTCTTGAGGGTCTTTTGGAGAATGTATGTGTGTGTGTGTACATGCATATATACATGCATACATGCACACAGGAGGCTTTGATTTTCATTGTAGTTCCTGTGCTAAAGTTGCATTTTAGTAATGTGCATATGTGCATCATTCTTCATTCTGTCATCTCTGTAGGCCCAGGGTTATTGTTAAACATCGTATCATCACGTTATTGGATCCGGTGCTTTTACTTTCTTAACAGAGTTGCATTGATTTTGGTTTTATTGTTTTCTTCATTTTCTGGAAAGTGGTGTAGTTAAATTTTTTACTGTTGATAATTTGATTTTCTAGATGTGGCTAAAGATTTAGTGATTGATTGTTTTTCCAGCTAAGTGATTAGCTCTGGAATTGGACTTTAAGAACCTGATATAAAATAGGATTCATGGTTGTTTAAATTTGTTTGTATTCTCTCTTTCTCTTTAAGGTAGGGGACTATAATTGAAACTACATGTATTATTTCAATGTGTTTGCAAATAGAACCAGTGGCAGTTATTTATTTATTATTATTTTTTCTTTGCACTCTCTCAGCAGAATTATTAAGGCAGTTACTTCTTAAATTTTGGTGCATAATTAATTTTTGTCATTTCAGTTAACTTCATCTTAAGCATTTTGCTGATTTTATACCCTTATATTCTAGGCAATGCAAAGAGACAAGTTTCCAAGAAAAAAACTTCAGATAAAAAAGGAAGATATCAGAAAGAATGTCCTCAGCATTCTCCTCTTGAAGATATTAAACAGCGGAAAGTATTAGACCTCAGAAGATGGTGACGTTATCAGTTTTAATTTTTTTCATTTTTGAAATATCTAATATGTGTTGGCAATAATTTAGCAGTTTACAAATTAATACATTATAGGTATAATAAATATTTTTAGTTCTAAAATTATTACCAGGATTTCTGAATATTTAAAGTCTACCACAAATGTTTGAAGTAGATTAATAATGAGCTATGCTTGTCTTTCACCGACTTGGCTGATTATTTGAGTCATTTGTGTGATTCCGCATAACTGCCATCTAGATTTAACAACGATTAATCTTTTGATGTCATTATATACTTAGGTTTTCTTTGCTGAAGAATTTTCAAGTAAGTGACTGATATTTATCGTATTTCATCTCAAGTTACCTAAGTATGCATCTCTAAAAAAATGACTTTTTTCTACTTAACCATAATACTTTTGTCATATCTAATAAGATTAATAATATTTCCCTAATATCTAATTCCCAGGCTAAAGTCATATTTCCTAGATTGTTCTGAAAAGGTCTTCACATATTTTTGTTCAGAGTGGGACCCAGTTGTGAACCACATGTTTGCTTGTTGTGACCCATAAATCTCTCAATCTACTACAGTCTCCACCCCACCTTCCCCCTTCCCCCTTGTCTTTTTAAAATTCTATTTATTTTAATCGACAAGAATTGTAAAGATTGACTTATTGAAGAAACTTGGCCAGATATTTTGCAGAATGTCCTACATTCTAGATTTGTTATTTCCTTTTGGTTTCCTAAATTAGTCATCTAACCTCAATATTTCCTGTAAACTTCAAGTTGGATATAAAGACTTGATTAAATTCCAGTACAACATTTTATGTAAGAATACTGCTTGAGTGGGCCTTCATACTTCAAACGTTTCACATCAGAAGGCACATGGTATCTGATTATCCAGTATGAGCAATTCTAAGTGACTACTGGGTTTAGGCAGTGATAGCTGTATTCTACATTGACGAGTTAGTTCCTTCCTTTCTGCCGCCCTCAAGTAATTAGCAGGGTGACAGAGTGGCATTAGCTAATAGCCAGGTTCCATCAACTTTTTACCTTATGATTTTAGCCAAATGTATTGACATCCCAAACCCATTGATGATCCTTGTCTGAATCTTTGTTGCAAAATGGTTATATTTCAAAATTCTATCTTTTGAAAAAATGTACGTTTATTACCCAGTCTTCTTCTCTAGCTTTCATTCATCAACTGGAGCTATTTGGTCATCTTAAAATACAGTTCCTAGTCTAAAGAAAACAAATTTAATTCATGCCAACTTTTATGTATTACTGACTCTCATTTGAGTCTTTAAAATTCATTTGTATGACATTTTAGAAATACATTTTTATCACTTATTTAATAAATATTGGTCCCTTTGCTGTAGGCTGAGAAACAGAGATGCACACAACATGGTCTTCGTTTTCCCAAGGTGTAAAATCTAGTTGAGGAGAGGGGCTAAACAGAAAAATATTAAATATCTTAGGCAGTTTGTCATGTAATGGGTATGAATCCATAATTAACCACGAAAAGAGGTAATGATCACCAAAATGCTTTACTAAGGTCCTAGGTCTTAAGGGAGGAAATATGAAGGGTTGGAGGGGTGAAGGGTCTTTGAAAGAATTACAGGAAAGTGTCTTTGGAATGTGGGTAATGAAAAGAGAATAGTTTGTCTAGAGTGAGGCTCAGAGAAGCCAAGAAACCTGCCAATGTCATGTGGCTAATAAGCAGAAGATGTTCTATTGAAACCGAAGACTAGACTTCAACATTCGTGCTGTTTCCCTGTAACACATGTCATGATGTCTTTCTTAGGTATCAGGCTCAAGATTTAGATTTTGTTTTTTTCTGAGTTAAAGGTAAGCCATGGACAATTTCTTAACAAAAGGAACTTTTATAAAGATAAATTTGGAGTAGTTAGTATGTATGGAATAATGGAGAAGAGACACTAAAGTAAAAAATATTCATTTTAGTTTATTTGAAAAGAAGGCTTTGCTCATTTGTCCTTCTAATTGCTTAGATTTAAGCTTTGTTTCAACAACAAATATGCGTAACTGCATTTTAATAATATAACATGTGAGGCTGTGAAAGCTAGCACTAGGAAGGATAGATGGGAGAAATGCACTGAGGGGAAACCATCACCAAGACTTTAAGCCTGTTTTCCACTGACAATATTACAATATTAGGTTAGAATGGAAAGTCCCGTAGAAACTAGGAGAATGTTGGTAAACGTTTTAATCTGGTCATAAACAAGACTAGAAAACAAGTTTAGACTGATGAAAAAGTGTGAAAAATCTTAAGAGAAACCTCCCTTTTCATCTCCTTTTTAAAATGTTCAGGCCAAATTTAGTGTTATGAGAAAAAATATACACATGCATGCAATACTTTCTTAGTAAATATATGTAAAGATAAATTTTGTAACATATAAAACACTGTTAGTATTGGACTTGTAAAATAATCCCCAGAATTGAACTCTGGCAAAAATATTCACAGCAGAAAAAAAAAAATCAGTCAGTGAATGAGTTGCTTGTGCTTTATCAGCATGGGCCATATAGCTTATGATGACGGAGCTATTAATAATCACCTGTCCACAAGGATGTCTTAGGTTGGAGTTCACACTCATATTTAAACAACTAGGGCAGATTACTTGAATAAGAACATTAGTAAATTGCTCATATGTTTCCAGGGATGGGGGAAAGGGGAAAAAGGGCGTTGTGTTCAGTGGGCAAAGAGTTTCATTTTTGTGAGATGAAAAACTTCTGTTGCCCAACGATTTGTGTATAGTTGACACTACTGACCTGTACACTTAAAAATGGTTTACATGATAAATTTTATGTTTTATGTTTATTTTTTATTTATTTTATTTTTATTTATTTATTTTTTAATTTAAGTTCTGGGTACATGTGCAGAACTTGCAGGATTGTTTCATAGGTATACACATGCCATGGTGGTTTGCTGCCTCCATCCCTAGTCACCTACGTTAGGTATTTCTCTTAATGTTATCCCTCCCAAATCTCCCCATCCCCTGCTATCCCTCCCCTAGCCCCCAAACCCCCAACAGACCTCAGTGTGTGATGTTCCCCTCCCTGTGTCCATGTTTCTCATTGTTAAACGCCCACCTATGAGTAGTGTTTGGTTTTCTGTTCCTGTGTCAGTTTGCTGAGAATGATGGTTTCCAGATTCATCCATGTCCCTGCAAAGGACATGAACTCATCCTTTTTCATGGCTGCATAGTATTCCATGGTGTATATGTGCCACATTTTCTTTATCTAGTTTATTGTTAATGGACATTTGGGTTGGTTCCAAGTCTTTCCTATTGTAAACAGTCTTTGCCGTTATAAGCAGTGAACATACATGTGCATGTGTCTTTATAATAGAATCATTTATAATCCTTTGGGTATATACCCAGTAATGGGATTGCTGGGTCAAATGGTATTTCTATTTCTAGATCCTTGAGGAATCGCCACATTGTCTTCTACAATGGATGAACTAATTTACACTCCCACCAACAGTGTAAAAGTGTTCCTATTTCTCCACATCCCCTCCAACGTCTGTTGTCTCCAGATTTTTTAATGATCGCTATTCCAACTGGTGTGAGATGATATCTCAATGTGGTTTTGATTTGCATTTCTCTAATGACCAGTGGTGATGAGCATTTTTCATATGTTTCTTGGCCGCATAAATGTCTTCTTTTGAAAAGTGTCTGTTTGTATCTTT